GGAGGGAATAGAGGAGGGAAGGAATAGAGGGAGGGAGGGAGAAGCGAAAAGGAAGGAAGGGAGGGACAGAGGAAAGGAAAAGGAAAAGGAAAAAAAAAGAAAAGAAAGAAAAAAAAAGCAAAGAAAAGAATTGACTCTGGGGTAGAGGAACTTAGAACAAAGGAACTAGATTAGAACCATCTCCAAAGGGTAAGTGCTGCCAATCAATGACCATATATCACCAACAGCAGTCATTCCACTAAGCCTCGAGACTTAGACTAAGACTAAGGGAAAGGAGTGGGGCCATCACCGCCTTCTACAGACGGGGGCACCGAGTGAGGAGCACGAGGTAAAGCAACTCACAGTCACTCCTTCATTGAGAAAATATTTTCCTGCCACCTGCTCACACTATGTGCCGGCTTCTGCGCTGAGTGTTGTGTATAAACTGGTGGATAAAAGAAACCTATTACGTTTTTGCTGCTGACAGTGAAACCAGACTCCATAAAAGTTCTTGTAGCGGGAAAAACAATTGTAACTGTGCACTAATTGTGGTGATCATTTCCCGATATATACAAATACCAAATCATTCTGTGGTACACCCGAAACTAACATAATATCATATGTCAGTTACATCTTAATTTAAAAAATAATACACGGTAGAGCCCAACTGCTAACAGCCATACCCCACTGTTGGCCCACAGGACACGCGCTGCTTCCTCAGACCCAGCAAGATCCGCGGGATGCCACCATCCTGGGGGCGGGCCCACTCTCAGCAGGGATGGCCACATGTGGCTGAGGCGAAGCTAGACCCTCGAGGCACCATCACACCACCCCCTCCCAGCCCCACCACCCCAGCCTGGAGAGAGATGCTCCTTACTTGGGGCTCTCTAGACCTTTGGACGGCAATAAGGTCAGCACCAGAGAGGACTTCTCAATGGCTGAGCAGGAGGCCACCATGTTCAGCTGGGGGATGAACTTGACCTGCTGGCACCAGTTGGGATGAAGAGCCTAGAAAGAGAGTGGCAGTGGTAGGGGCTGGAAGGGCCAGGAAGTCACCATGTCTAATACCCTCTAGTGATCACAGCTCTGACACAGCAACATGGCCCCAGGATCCCAGCCTAGTCCTGTGGCATCACTTGGTCAGTGAGACAGGTGAAAAGCACCCAAATTTGTAAGTTAGAGGACAGGCAAGGTCAGGCCCATGTGACATCACTGTCACCGCATCCCACGCAGGAGAGAGAACGGATTGGAGTCAGCCAAGCCCTCAGTCCCTCTTATCCACAGGGAGCCTTGGATGCTTCCCCATGGGAATGTTATCTGGTGCAAGTTAGGCAACGAAAGGCTGAGACCCACAATCCAAGGGGCAGCCTTGATGGCACAGGCTCAGAATTCTCTAGCTTTGGCTCTGCGGGTCAGCCCTGTGCTTGGCCTCCGCATTGGGGACCTCCCTCTTCAGGACAACATGGAGGGGGCTGCGGGGACTGGGCTAGGTTTTGCATATGCTGCCTCACTGAGCATCTATCATGGCGAAGGTGCCAAATCCAGGGCACCAGACAGAATGTGGGACACTCAGCAACAGGGACAGAAAACCAAGCCCAAGATGAGATTCCCACAGAAGACAGAAAAGACAGTATTTGTGGGTGACTCTCCCTGATAGGGTCCCAGGGCCTGAGGGATCCAACCTGCCAGAAAAGAAGCATTTAGGAGCCTGGGACCACACAACTCAGTCTGCCCCTAGTGTCAGATTCATTCATTCATTCGTTTGTTTATCTGTTCAACAAATGTACTGGGAGCCCACTAAGGCCCAGCCCTTTTAGGCACTGGAGACAGGACAACAGGCTAAGTGCCTGTCCTTAGGAGCTGTCAATCCCGAGAGGGTAACAGGATGAGAAACGAATGGGTGGACAATACAAAGTTGGAAGGTGGTAAGCTGTGATACCGTGATTTGTAATAAATATGTATTTGGGGGCATCTGGGTGGCTCAGTCGGTTAAGCATCCGACTACAGTCATGATCTCACTGTTCGTGAGTTTGAGCCCCGCATTGGGTGAGCTCAAGCCCTGCTCCGGCTCCACACTCTCTCTCCCTCTCCCTCTGCACCTCATGGGATTCTTTCTCCCTCTCTCTGCCCCTCAATTGCACGCTCTCTCTCAAAAATAAATAAATTAAAAAAAAATTTTTTTTTAACGTTTATTTATTTTTGAGACAGAGAGAGACAGAGCATGAACGGGGGAGGGTCAGAGAGAGGGAGACACAGAATCTGAAACAGGCTCCAGGCTCTGAGCTGTCAGCACAGAGCCCGACGCGGGGCTCGAACTCACAGGCCGCGAGATCATGACCTGAGCTGAAGTCGGCCGCTCAACTGACTGAGCCACCCAGGTGCCCCTAAATTTTTAAAAAAAAGAAGCATATATTTGGTCTTCATGCCCATTTCTGGCACAGAACTCCTAAATCCCTCAGAACTTCCTAAGTGGTAAGAAAGTGTTCCTACTCATAACAAACCCGTGTCAACCACACTTGAGTTTACATTAATGAGATGACTTTTGGAAAGCCCTTGGGGATGGGGACTGGTTGCCAGGGAAACCAAGCAGGAGCCGGGAGGGTTGGAACTTTCAGCCCCACCCCCCTGGCCCCTGGGGAGAGGAGAAGAGCTGGAGGATGAATTGGTCGTCAGTGGCAATGATGTGATCAATCATACCTATGTGATTAAACTCCAAAAAAACCCCAAAAGGACAGGGCTCAGAGAGCTTCTGGGCTGGTGAACATGTGGAGGTGTGGGGTGAGGTTTGTGCCCAGAGATGGCAGAGAAGCCCCAGGCCCCCGTTCCCCACACCTTGCCCTCCGCATCTCTTCAATCTCGCTATTCCTAAGTTGTATCCTTTTCTAATAAAGCGGTGCTGTAGTAAGTAAAATGTCTCTCCAAGTCCCGTGAGCCACTCTAGCCATTTAATCAAACCCAGAGAGTGAAGGGAAGCTCTGATTTATAACCAGCGGGTCAGAAACACAGGTGACAACCTGAGCTTGTAAGTGGCCTCTGAAGTGGAGGGCGGTCTCGTGGGACTGACCCTTAACCTGTAGGGTCTGACGCTATCTCCAGGTAGAGAACTGTAGGCCACCCAGCTGAGGTCTGAGAATTGCATGGTGGTTTGGGAAAAACACATTGCAGTTGGTGTCAGAATCGTATCAATGCTGCAGCGGGAAGGGCCAAGGGCAGAGGCAGGCAGCAGGGCTGTTCCGGGCTGGCCGGTTAGGGCCCTGGAGGGAGAAGAGAAAGGAGCAAACAGGGACCGAAGGGAGAACCCAGCAGCCTGAGGGCTAGAGCGTGGCAAGGCCCTGAGGCGGGAAAAGGCTTGGCGTGTTCAGAGAACAGCAGGATTGCCTGTGTCTCTGCGGCTGAGTAAATGGGAAAAAGAAAGGTAGAAAGCGAGATGGGGGGCAGGCAGGGGCCAGGTCACCTTGTGTCCTGATGGTCATGGTAAGCACTTGAGATTCTGTTTGAACGTGATGAGAAGCGATGGGGGATTATTTTTTTAATGTTTTTTTTTAAACTTTTTAAATGTTTTCTTATTTATTTTTGAGAGAGAGAGAGAAAGGGACAGAGCGCAAGCAGGGGAGGGGGCAGAGAGAGAGAGGGAGACACAGAATCTGAAGCAGGCTCCAGGCTCTGAGCGGTCAGCACAGAGCCTGACGCAGGGCTCGAACTCACATACCGCGAGATCGTGACCTGAGCCGAAGTCGGACGCTTAACCTAGGCGCCTACTGGGGGATTTTGAGCAAAGGAGTGACATGGCTGGTTCTAGCTCATAATTCCTCTGGCTGCTGAATGGAGTAAAGCACTGCATGGAGAAAGGAAGGTGGAAACAGCTAGAAGCCACTGCAGCCATCCAGGAGAGAGGCGGTATCCGCCGGGACCAGGCTTGAGCACTGGAGGTGGTGAGAGAGACGAGCCACCCCCGGGATATCTACGTTCTCTGATCAGAGAGCTGCAGGACCCGACAGCTGCCTTCATCCTCCCAGTGATCAAGCCTCAAGGCTTAAGACTGAACCCAGCGGGCGAATCCACTTTTGAGTGGCTCGTGGGTACAGATAATCACCATGGTAACGGGCCAAGAAAAGCGATGACTTACTTTCAGCCAGTAACTTCTATACAAAGGGGACTTTTCATTTAGGAGCTTCCGTGCGGAAACGTTGGTCCAGTGATCTGGTAGGAGAGAAAACCGAGGTCCACATCACCAGCTCCCCACCTCGCCAGACCAGCAAAAACCCCAGTGGACACCTCGAGTTGGTTTGCCACTCCTGTATGTCTCAAAACTTTTCCATCCAAATGCTCATTCCAGCCTTACTGTGTCCTGGTGAGTTCAGTGGGATGAACTTGACACAGAACACAGACACAGGCAGGTAACACTGTTGCCCAGAGCCCTATGCCAGGGCTCACAGAGCTGGCCCCACATCTCGGGCCTTCTCCCTCTCCCCACATGCTGCAATCTAAATGAGGTGATTCTCTCTCTCTCTTTTTTTTTTTTTTTTTTTTAGTTTTTATATATTCATTTATGTTTTAAAGTTTATTTTGAGAGAGAGAGAGAATGCGCAAGTGAGGGAGGGGCAGAGAGAGACGGAAGGGGAGAATCCCAAGCAGGCTCCATGCTATCAGCATGGAGCCTGATGAGGGCCCAATCTCATGAACTGAACTGTGAGATCATGACCTGAGCCGAAATCAAGAGTCGGATGTTCGACCGACTGAGCCGCAGCAGGCGGCCCCCAAGGTGATTCTCATTTAGGGAGCTCCAAGTCTGCTGGAGTGGAGAACAAATTGAGACCCTAGGCTCTATTCATTCTGAAAAGGATCATTTGGAAGTCTACCATCATGCTTCGAACTACATGCCCCGCCTTGTCTTGCAAACACAAGTTCCAAGGGGGGCACCCAGCAAGTGTGCCTGGAGCAATCACACTGAGCACAGCCTGGCCCTCATGGCGGCGTTCAGGGTCTCCTGGCCCCCGCAACCTCCCACATCCAGCCGGCGGCCTGGGAGCCTCCAAGGAAAGGCCCCGGGTGCAGGCAGATGGGGCTAGCAGTGATGGGACAAGCACGGGTCTCCCTGTAGAGCAGGCTTTAAGGAGGTGGGTCCCAAAGACTGGGACAATCTGGGCTCAAGTCTGAGAGAAACTCCCAGGTAAAAGGCGGAAAAGAGAAGGGGACCTGGCGGCTTATGCCAAGCATTTTATGCTGCAAAGTCACCAGCCCCATCTTGCAAGGGCAGGAGGAAGCTTGAAAAGGAAGTCCCAAGGGGTGGAGTGTTGCAGAAGTGGGGCAGGCACGGGAAGGCGGAAGCTTAGCCAGGGGCCTCACTTCTCGTGTCTGCCTCGACCACGAGGCTGGGAGAGCCCCGGGAGGTCAGGAGAGGGAGTCCCCCTGTCCTTACCGTGCACCTCACCCCATATGCCCTCCTCCCACCTTATAGGAAAGCCATGAATTGAGTATGCTCATCCCTGTTTTAAAGGGAACTGAGGTACAGAGAGGTCAAGCAACTGGTTCCAGCTCACACAGAGCTGGTCTGTCCAACTCCTCCCAAGTCAACACACGGGTGAGCCCACCTTCATGTTCCTCCCCAGCCTTCAGGCAGCGTGTGGCATGGAAGGACTCCTATCCTACACTCCGGCTTCATCCGTACCCGCTCCGATCTCCCATCTAGCACAGCTCAACGACTACCACAACTTCCCATGCCATTTCCCAGGGTGCCACAGCGTGACCGCGGCCGGGCAGGGCAGGCACCAGGAGTAGAGGCTGATGAGGCAAGGATATAGGAGGGTGCCAGCCCACTGCTGTATCCAGGGTGGGATCTATCTTCCATCCGGCCAGTGGGGGGGAATGGGTCACCAAGGCCGGGGAGCCCTTGCAGGGTGTCCGGCTCAGAAACTCTGACTGGAAGCCCTAGGGACTGCTCTGGTGTCCTGGATGGGAGTCAGTGTCCCCATGGGCTGGGGCCCCTGGTGGCCCAGGGCCTCCTCTAGATGGGTATGAAGCAGCCTGGAGGCCTGACACCACACTCCAAGGGCTCGATCCTGGACAGGGTCCAGTTCAGGCGCGTCCCTGATAGTCCCAGGCCCCAGAGCCTTGGGCCCTAGTGCCCCTGGAAGAACAGCCCTGAACAGCGTCCTTCAGTGTTTAGTGAGTTTAGGGTATAGCCCAGCAAGGGGTTAAGGTGCAGACTCGGGCAGACTGCCTGCTTCGGGACACTTACCCTGTGGGGCCTACACAAGTGCTTCACCCCCTGAACCTCCATTCCTCCTCTCTTCATGGGCTGTAACAGCAGCAGCTCCCTGCTGGCCATGGGCAGGGGGAGGGCCGTAGGAGGCGACGTGCCCAAGCCACTCGGCACGCAAATGCACAGTAAGTGTCACTGTGCTTATTCAGGTTCATGGCCATGCTGAGCCAGGCTTTCCCCCAGGCCCCACTGAGCCCACCCCCAGGGCAGCCCTCCTGCCCCACCCCCACCCCCCCACCAAAAGCGGCTCCCAGCTGAGAGCAGAACCCTCCTCACGACCTTGGAGAAGGTTACTGCTGGCATCCCAAGACCCGGAAGGGGTGAGTGACTTCCACAGGGTCACACAGCTGGCACAGGTTGGTCCTTGCTGGGATGAGGGGGGTCCGGAAGCCTCTCCCCTCCACCTTCACCTGTGCAACCTCCCACCTTCAGAGAGATTGCCCCGCTTCTCAGCCCCCTCTGGCTGTTGTGGTCACCTCCTCACCCCACGTCCCACGGGCCACTCGGAGCTGAGCCTACGGGTGTACTCCTCAGCTGAGCTGAAGTAGCCCGAGGCTCCTGAGCTGGGAGGAAGGGTCATCTCCCCACCCGCACATTCCCTAGCATCTTAGCTACCCCATTTGGAGGTCCTGGGGAGGATTCGGGGGTTGAACAGCCCGTGGGTCACATTGCTGGAGGTGAAGACGATGACATTGCCTTTGGTGTCCCCATAGCAGAACACACCTCTGTGACAGTCAGACCTGAGGAAGGTGGAGACAGAAGAGGCGGGGCTGGGCGCAGGGCTGCAAGCCTCCACCTTCCCGGCCCCCATCAGCCTCCCTGCACCTGGGAGCGAGGGGCAGTTCCCACACGACTTGCCAGCTTTGCCCTCAATGGCTGACAAACATGGGCCCAGCCGCCCAGACCCAGATCACCGGTGAACTGGGGCCAAAAGAAATCAGTAATTTTTTTGAACGCTAAAACAAACAAATTCCTGGTCCTCCAGCTGCTTGTTACCAGCTCACCCTCCTGCGGATGGACCACGGCATTCCCAGAGCCCTCAGTCACGGCGGGACAAGCCCCTGCCGGGTTTCGATGGCTGACTTGGTCGGGCAGTGGGAGGAAGAGGGGCAGACGACTGAGTAACCCCCAAGGCAGGGCAGCTTGGCGAGGAGGACACAGGCACATAGGGTGGGAATCATTCCGGGGCTGTTTCCAGAGAGGCTTTCTGGGAGTCCCAACCGCACCGAGTGATGCGGCTCCTGCCAAGACTGCACCTGTCTCCCCCCGAGACTCACCAGTAGTCTATGGTCAGGACACAACTGTCCAGATCAGTGAAGGTGAAGGCCCGGGCACAGTTGTGGTTGCTGATATCAAAGAACTCTGGGGGAGAGACGGAGGGGGAGGGCATGCATGGAGCCCAGGCCCACATCCCAGGCCTCGGGGGCCTCTGGGGACAACACGCAGCCTCTGCTTACCAGCCACAGCACCCCCAGAGGGCTCTAACCCACGCCCACAGTTGGCCCGGTGACGGATCCCCAAGCGCAGACGCATGCCTTCCAACGGCTGACGGTAGGCCTGGGGCGCCGTCAGGGACTCACCAATCTTCTGGTCGGTAGATGCAATCGCTATCAGGTTCATGTTGTGGAGACAGACCATGTCGATGACCCACATCTGCTGGTGGTGGGGCTGCTGGATCTGGTTAAGCTGGCCAGGGGAAGAGCAGAAGCGACCGAGCTGGGGAGGCTTGCCTGGCAGAGCGCACCAAGGCGCAGGGTCCCGTGAACCCTCTCCCACCACCCGAGGCCCTGGAGGGGGCAGCAGAGCTGGTTTGGAGCCCAGCACTCCTACCAGCTGCTGATAGGGCTTTGGACAAGTTCCCTAGCCCGAGCCTCAGTTTCCACATCTGCGAAATGGGCTTAAAGAACACCCATCCTCACAACCCCTTTCTAGAGCCACTTGACAAGCTTCCTCAGAGTTTTAACTGTGCATGACTCGTGATCCCGGGATCTATTTCCAGGACACATCTGCAGATGTGTTCACATGTACTCACAGAGAAGTGTGTGTGAGGGCAGGCCCCGCCACACCGCTGTGATAGCAACAGGCCACAGACCACTTGGAAAGGAGAGCAGATACAAATCCACACCACAGGACACCACCCAGACATTACAAAGAAGGGGACTGTGCACACGCCATACAGAAGAGTGTCCAGGATCCATTATCAAATGAAAAGGCAAGGTGGAAAGCAGCACTATCATGTGTTACCATGCGTATATTTAAAAAGGGGTGCGGAGGGTGCGTGTACAGGCTAACCGTGAAGAGTGCCCCAAAACTGGTCACAGCGGTTGCCTCCAGGAGAGAATTCGGGTGTGGGAGAGGGAGAATGACTTTCCACTGACTGCCCCTCTGCAGGTCTGGCTCTGTCCCCCACCCCAGTTTTTTTTATTAAAAAAAATTTTTTTTTAATGTTTTTATTTTTGCGACAGAGAGAGAGCATGAGCAGGGGAGGGGCAGAGAGAGAGGGAGACACAGAATCAGAAGCAGGCTCCAGGCTCTGAGCTGTCAGCACAGAGCCTGATGTGGGGCTCGAACCCACAGACTGTGAGATCATGACCTGAGCCGAAGTCGGACGCTTAACCGACTGAGCCACCCAGGCGCCCCATCCCACACCAGTTTTATTGAGATATAACGAACATGTGACATGGTATTAGTTGTTGCTTGTTTGTTCTGTCTGCACTTTGTTTACCATCTGCAGATGTCCTCCCGCTCAAGTGGCTTATTGACAAGAAATCACCCAGCCGGGCTGTGAGGTGCCAGCCTCACGTAACACTCATGCAGACGGAATTCGAGCGGGCCCTCGAGGTACGGGACACCACACACAAAGTCATGTCCGCAGAAAGGGGCTTTGGTGTCCAGAGAAAAGAGGAGGCCGGCCTGACAGGCTCAGGGTCAGGGAGGATGAGAGATGAGTTAGGGGTGGTCAGCTAAGGCATTTGTAGTTTACTCCCTGTAAGAAGGCCACAAACTCTGGACTGGAGAAAGCAGACAGCAGTACAGACTGAAACAGAAGGGAGGGCGGAGGATTAAGGCAGCTCCTCTAGGTGGCTGTGCAGAAGGGATGGCAAAGGCAGGGGCAAGAAGTGGACTGTCCCATCACAACTCAGAGACACCAAGAACAGAGAGGTCCCTGCTGGCGGCTGGGCAGTGAGGACAGGGGGCCAGGCCCCCTGGGGCCTCTAACCCACACACAACAGATGGTACGCCCATCACCTCCACGTGCCTTGGAGAAACCCCGAGCCCTAGGGAGTTCCAGTGACTTGCCCAAGGTCGAACAGCTGGGAAGTAAAGCCCAGCCCCCCTCCCACCCCAAACTCCAGGGCTTTCCATCTGCATGACCATGGATGGCATGCAGTGGGTTTCACGGATGGTGCTTAGTGGATCACTCTTGCCAACATCTACTTTCCCGAGCAGCCCCTCAAAGAGGAATGCTGGGCCTTCCGGGGAGCCTCCCTCTGCCCTCCTCATCCCTCCCAGACTTGGCCTCTGAAGGATGCTGAGGTGACCGAGTAGCAGCCACAACCAGGAGCTCAGGCTATAATGTGCCCTCTCACACACAACAAAATAAACACACAGAGAAAAAGGATGGAAGGTGCCAGAAATCCCAGCCTCAGGAACTCGGGTATGAGTCACCCCTGGTCCTGAGCTACCAAGTACTCAAGAGTCACTTGACCTCCACAGACCTCAGCTGCCTCCAGAACCCTCCAGCCCCAAGGGATGACCCCTGAGGCAACTGTGAAACACTCTGCTCTTTCACGGGCTTAGGAAAGCCTTCATGCTGCCGGCAACGTTCTCAGTAAGCCTTTCTTCTCTGGAGAGCTGTGCCTTCCTCATTTGCTGGAGGATTCTGGACTGGCCTGGCAACACTACGTACACAGCCAGCTTTCCTGAGTGTTTTCTCACTCGCTGCACTCAACCAGGAGCTGACAGCACAGAGACAATGATGAGGTCATCTTGTATTTGTCGGCACTTGCTGTGTGCCTTGCCCTACTCTGAGGACCGTATGCGTATTAAGTCATTAAATCCTCCCAGCAGCCTGAGGGGGTAACTGTGACCCCACTTGACAGATGAGGAAACTGAGGCACAGGGAGCTATCTACGAAGTGTCCACGGTCACAGAGCTGGAAGGTGGTACAGTCAGGTTCTAAGTTGGACTCCAGAGCCCACACAACCACTGCGATTTCCTGCCTGGTCCAGGTAAAGGATTTGCGTGACAGAGGGGACATGACAGGGAAAGGAAAGGTAGCAGACTGCTAACACGGAAACCTTGGTAGATAGCAACACCATTCACTGAGATGAGGCACAGGAGAAGTAAGCCTGGTGGCCAGGGAGAGCTACAGTGACATTCTATTTGGACAGACTGGGTGTGAGGTGTCTGTCTGTTGGACATCCAAGTCGAATGGACGTCCAGATGCAGTCCTGCTTACAGAAGTGAAATGCGAGGGTCGCAGTCCCACGTGAAGCAGAGCCTGGCCCCAGGAGCAGTGACTCCACGTGCAGGCTGCTTAGACTGTGAACCCCCAAATGAGCCCACTCGGGGCCCAGGTCACCTTCATTATTGGGGTACAAAGGCAAAGGCTCTCCGACCACCCTGTGTGTGCTCCACGTGTGGGTCCCCCTCACCCTAAAGGAGTTAATCAGCGAGAAGGTCTCAGACCAGATCTGCAAGATCCCGTCCTTGGTGACAGTCAGGAGATGCCCAATCTTCTTGAACTGCTGGATTAAAATCTGCACCTTCACAATCTCACATCCATGGCTCCTGTGGAAGGTGACAGGACAGAGAAGGACCCAAACAAAAACAGAATGAAAAGCACAGAGGGGGAAGGGCAAAGCAAGACACAGACACACACACACACACACCACCACCACCACCACCACCACCACCACCACCACCACCAAGAAACTCAAGCTGGCTCCTCCAGAGGTGGGGCTCTGCTGGGCGGGCTTCTACCATTATCAGCCATGGCCGAAAGAAAATGACCCGAGTAGGCCGCTGGTATGAGATAGGGCTCCACAGGCAGTGAGCTCTCCTTTCAAACAACCAGCTGGCTTCCTCGTGATGGGATGGGGTCAGAGAAGGCAGAGAACAGAGGTCTTTTGCAAACCTTCCTTTATAAGAAAAAGAGTCTACGGGTGGCGAGTGGAGGGGGGATTGTGACTGAAACCTTCAAAATAACAGTTTTCGGCATCTCAGGGTAGAGAAGGGAATATAAGCCAAGCATGAGATAGAAGTGGATGAGGGGACAACGTATCCAATAGAGCCCCACATACCCAACTCCTCATCTCCAAGGCCATGTGCTGAGCACAGCAAACAGCTCCTGCGGCAGGCCGGGACTCACAGGAAGCCACCGTGAAGCCTTCCCAGCAAGCTACAGTCATGCCTTCCAGTGCCTTCTGTCCTGCCCCAAGTTGGCTAAGCTGGCTGTCTGGCTACTAAAGGGCACCGCCATCTTGACTTCTGGACACGGCTCAGCACACGATCCTGGTGCTCCCATGCCTCCAGGCCCCAGCAGGGCAGGAAATGTCACCTCACCTCACAGGGACCCAGGGATAAGCATTTTCCTGGAGTTATGTCCTGGCTATGGGCGGAGCTTCAACTAGAACGTAGGCACCTCGATCCCTACTCCGGCCAGAGCCCTTTCCAAAGGTTGCTGTGGACACCGTGTGACCTGTGGCTGAAGGCGAACCCACACTGAAATTCTACCTCAAAACATTCTCAGCAGAAGAGAGAGCAATGGTGTGTCTGGATATGGCTCTTTTCTCTCCCACCCGCAGCCCCCAGCTCTGCCCAGTCTGCCCTCCATCACTCCCAGTGCCACCTCTGGCATCAGGCCCACGAGACTCTGAGGGGTAGATGCAACAGGTGAGAGCCATGAGAAGGGAGGGGAGCCCTCGGGAGGCGTTATCCCACGAGGCCAGCACCCAGGAGACGAGCGTTTGGTGAGCTTGGTCCAGGCTGAGGAGAGGGGAGCCAACTTTTAGGTGACTTTTTCATGAAAATAACTAAATAGGATTTGGCTATTTTCTCTGTCAAGCTGGAAATACTCTCTGGGAACAAATAAATAGGGGAAAATAGGGACAGGCTTCTTGACGTTTTTGGTTCTGGCCCTTTAAGCACCTTGGGAATCTAAATGCCCCGAGGAAACAAAGATCCGTGAAGGTTTGGCTGTCTCTAGCAAAGTTTTAGGTCAAAACACATGGTTATAAAATCCTTCATTATTCATATTTGCTGACTATTCCTCAATTAAATTTTGACCAAAATTTTTTTAGTTGCCCGTTCGTGGTTTTCATTACCATCCTTCTGAATCTCCAGGTGCTCCAGGGCAGAGACTGCCTCTGGTTCATGGTCTTCCCCACAGCCTGCTCCGGGGGCAGTCCCCTGAGGACCACAGCCCCTCCTAAGCAGGCCACAAATGCACATCACCAAGCGTTGGACCACAGGACCCAGATCCCTGGCCCTGGCCACCGACACGAGGCAGCAGGTGTGCAAACCCAAGGTGGGTTACGGGAAGAGGCCTGGGCCATTGGCCAGAGCCACTGGAGGGTTCCTCGTTCTTGGGGAGTTCAGAGGGGAGGGGGCAGACAGGGCCATGGCACAGAAAGATGAGGTGAAGGTCCAGAGGGCACAGTGTACAGGAGCCAGAAGGAGGAGCAAGCAGGCAGGGTCGAGGAAGTCAAGGCATGGACAGAGCCACTGCTCCAGGAGTGACCAATGGCCCGTTCTGGAGGCCTGGTGTGGCCTCCAGGAGCAGTCTCCTATGATGGCTTTTACTCCCTGCCCTGTGAGCCATCTGTGCCCTGACCCACTGGGCTGCAGGGTGGGGGGAAGCAGGAGGAGTAGCGGATGCTGCAGGGACAGGGAAGGCCGAACACAGCAACCCCATCACCGTCCTTCGACCTCTCTGAACCTTTGTTACTTTGTCTGTAAAGTGGGGACACATCACTTACCTTCACGCTCAGGCTCGCCTGCAGGGTTGAGGGGCTGAAATGAGCCTAGTGCCAGACCCTTGGTGGCCCCACAGAGAGTGGCTCAGGGATCTAGGGAGGGGCGCTCACAGCAGGGCCAGCCCCCACCCCGTTCACACACACCCCTTCGGTCAGGGGAGAGACTCCTTACAGGGGGATGATCCTCATGGGGAGGTGGAAGCGCAGGCGGTACTGGCTTGTCCTCATCATCTCCTTTCTCTGGAACTCACGCATCATGTAATCCACGTACTTCTGCTGCCTCGGGAAGAAACGAAGGCAGGACAGCGCTGGCCAAACGCTCGGCATACTGGGCTTCGGGAACCCACACCCGGCTTCCGGTTCCTCCCCCATCTTTACCAGCCCCTTCCAAGGGGCTCTGGTTGATGCTTCCCGAGGGTGGCCAAGGAGAGTAGCCAAGCCAACTGAGCTGTTCTGGAATCTGGGACGTGTGAAGGGCCTATTAGTAGGTACATAGCAGCACCTCCCTCCTTAATGAGGTCCTGTAATGCTAAATGTATCTCCGCATCACCCCCATGTTCAGCATCCTGTTTGAATCTCTTTATTCATCCCCACTTTATGGATAATGAGACTGAGGCTCCTAACAGTAGAGATGAATTGTCTCAGCTCATATAAGAAGTTAACAGCAACGGAAGACCCCAAAGCCAGGTCACTAGGGCAATTCTAGAATCTATTAACCAGCCTCATGAAGGCCAAAGTAGGCCACCATACACCATACACTATACAAGAAAGAGGGAGTTATTAAGAAAGATAATGGTGTAGATAGCAGAGAATTCTGGAAACACATTTATTGTAGGATATTAAGAGAAATGAAAACACCAACACAAAAATCAAAAATTTTGATCAAAAACCAACCAGAATGTACACATAAGCCAAGGGGGAGGGATGACAGAGCAGTTAAGCCACGACTCCTGAAGCAGGGGCCCCTTCCTCACCCAGGTGATGGAGCCATTACAGTCTGTGTCCACCTTCAAAAACAGCGCCTCCATCATCTCATCCGACACACTGCTCAGAATCTTCTTCGTGGCCTTAATGAAAGCCTTCACGCCCAGGGCTTCAAAAGAGAAGAAAGAACATCATCCACTGCACAGCTAGTCACTGGCCCCGTCAGCAGCCGCGGCGGTGTCCTGGGTGTCTGGGTGCTGAGGGAGGGGCACATGGAGAATCCTGTTTGCGGGCTTGTCTTCTGCATCCCACGTGTTCAGCATTCAGCCAGCCCACAGACAGTGGCCAC